AAATATTATCTAGATAGAAAATAGAAGCATCGAAAAAAGGTCAGAGTGTAATACATCGCTGAAATATGTATTGATATCATGATAACATGTAAAACGAACTAAACAATTTTAATGATATTTGCAAGTAATCAAGTTGAAACACATAATAATGACTGATATCATAGAGAATGTAATATTTATTTTATAATACTGTTTCATCTTATATTGTGTTTACTGATAGCAATCAAAGTTACATTGCTCTACTTAACAAGATAGTAGTTCATTATACATTATTTTTTATGATTATTATAGTTTACAAATATATAGATAATTTTCTAAGTTACAATTTGTGTTACTCTATTCTTTGGACAACTTCTTGACGATTCATATATATATGTTATCATTATCTTATTTTGGATAGGAAACACGGATTATATCATTCTAGATTATTCTAAAAGAATATATAAGTACGATATTGACAAGCAAACTTTATTTAACTGTACATTTAACAAATAAAAAAAAATAAAAGACATGCATAAACATTCATTGCAATTATATTGTCTTTTACAATTAATAGAGAATGCGTGATTTACTATGACTTTGATGATGTCTTGGATGAGCATTGGGACGTCGTCCAGTACAAACAATCGATGGTCGACAACGACATATTGGACAATTACTTTTATCGAGAACATTACCACATGGACAATAAATTGAACATGTTGGTGGACATCGTGAATGAATACTTCGTTTATATGGACGTGCTTCACTACCAGTTGGTATTAAAAAAAGACAAAATCCAATCACAATAAAAGCAACGAATAACAACACTTTGACATGCATTTTATGTATACGTAATGACAAGAGATTTGCTGTTGTTTCTACTTAAGTACAACGCATATTGGCATATATATATATGTATATATATATATATCACAAGATAGGAAAGAAAGAATTCCAGTAACGCATTTTCTGTTTTCTTCTTAATTTATTTCCGTCAACCTTCTTTGTTTATGTGTTTATTCTTTAACTCGTTGTTGTCTTCTGGTGTATGTATATACAGCTGTTAGAATAAGAAATAGATGTCACTCAATAACAGTATATCGAACTACAAATGTTTCATAAAATAAAAATAAAAATAAAAATGAAACATACTTGAAAAAGATATATTCAAAAGTATTGATAGTATTCATAAAATAAAAATAAAATTAACTATTAGAGGTTGTAAATATCAATAGGATTGATTGAAAAGTTGATAGTAGTGAGTCATCGCACTGAACATTTTTTATTATCAATCATGTTTTGGACAAATCGATCTCTATGTTCTATTCGATTAATTTCTAATACTTCAATTCGATATCTTCCTCGTGTTGCTACATCTCATGAACATCCGACAGTCACAAAAAGTTCTGACTATGCAGTAATTAATACATCTCAACAATCACAAACAGTTGTATTTAATGATTATAATGTTGTTAAACCAATTTCACCTAGAATTCAATCAAGACCAGTTCCTAAATCTGTACCAAAATTAATTGATGTACAAACTGGTTTAAATCATTTTATGAATGAATGTGATGAACGAATGTTATTGATGACAGTTGAAAATAAATATAAATTATTTGATTGTAATAATGTAGCAACTTTTATTCAACGTCTTCATGATTTAAATATAAAACGTGATTCAAATGAAAAACATCATCAACGATTTTATGATTTTGTTGATTATTTAAGTAAGTAAAAAGTAAAGAAAAAGATTCATTTTGCTATATTCAATTTACGTCGGAGATGTTTCGAAGTTCATACACACTCACATCAAATTATTTACTGTTTTCATTACTGAGATAGTTTACGATGGAAGTTCTCCAATTGATAAATCGAGACGTTAGTCTTTCCTATTTAGCCAATGAGAATATCAAAATTACAAAAGTATCTTTATATAAAATACAATGGTTTGCAAAAAAACTTGTAACAAATCTTTAGGCTGTATTAAAGACTAGTTCAACTGTTTTCAAAAGAATAATTCTCTTATTTTAATACATATCAGTTTACAGTATTAGGATATCTAATTCAATATTTGATTTGTTCGCCTTTTGATTCAATAACAAAGAGATATCTATTTTTTATATTATTGATCACATTGATTATAACTTTTTTTTCAATATTCATATTTAAGAAGATTCAAATGGCATGAGATTGTGCCGGTGAAAACCTTTAATTCACATTGTTCACGCCAGTTTTTAATTAATTCTTCCAATATCACTTCATTATTTCGTCTAATAAACTGATCTAGTATTTGGCTGCATTTGGCATTAATTATACGTAGGGTGATCAAAAAGTTCCCGGAATTCGCTATATCTATTCAGAGAAACGACATTCCATCCATCTCTCTACAGCATATATTCGAGATAGTTGTTGTAATATTCCATGGAAAATTTCATTCTTTTCACTCGCTCTTGAGGTATCCTTCTGAAGTAAACAATAGGTATTGAATTGACCCCCTTGGTAATGACCCTTTCTACATTGTTGTAGCTGGCGATTATCTACTCTACCTTGGATGGATTTCAACAACTAAGAATCCGGAAGTCTAGTCCTACATGAGTACGCTTAGCAAGCGTTAACTTAAATTCCTTTCACATTGAAGTAAATAATGACGATATTTTACGTGTTGCACAAAAAGTCTTGATGAAAATTGATAGGGCGCGACCATGGCGATACTTTTTTGTTCAATAACTTTTTTATTTTCGAAACTAGGTATTTATCATTAATATGATAGTATTACTAGCCACTGTAGAAACCACTATATGATGAATAACAATACAGCTGTCATTAAAAGCTTGACACTTTTGATGTCGTCAACAATAAATGTCGCTTGAAGACTCCGTTTCTCTTGTGGACTTAAGTTTCGATAATGACTCTCATCCAATGTTACGAAAGCACATTTTAGTATGATAGCTACTAATGGTATTCGATGAAATCTGCCCACTACTTAGCAGCTTCTCCAACTCTTTGGGGCTAAAAAAAACTAGACAAATTCCTGCAATCACCAAGGAGGTCAATTCAATACCTATTGTTTACTTCAGAAGGATACCTCAAGAGCGAGTTAAAAGGATGAAACTTTCCATGGAATATCACAACAACTATCTCGAATATATGCTGTAGAGAGATGGATGGGATGTCGTTTCTCTGAATAGATATAGCGAATCCCGGGAACGTTTTGATCACCCTATGTACATTTTCGACCATTGGCTGCTCAATATTCTAGAAAACCTTGAGTTCTGAGCTTTTTAAACTGATAACTAATTGTAGACAAAGTTATCTTTGTATATCGGTAGATTTTCTTGCCACAACGAATTCTGGTGTTGTAATAATGTAATAGAGAAATATGATGTGATTTTCGACTAACTGTCTTTGCTATGTTAGGCTATTATTATACAAAGATAAAATAGAAATTAATCAAATATATGAATATTTTTAGTACATAATCTGCTTAGTATAAATCCATAATAACCGCAAAATAAAGGCTCAAGATAATCTAGATAACATAAAATATTTATGTTGAAAGATTGTTCCAACTTTTTTTTTTTTTGCAAACCATTGTAAATATCATTTGAACAGATATACAAAAAATTTCGAACACGAAATTCTTATTATAAAATAATATGCAATCTTGCTATGATTATCTCTAATATTCTATTCACTTTTTTTTGTTTTAAGTATTAAAACATGGTCAACAATTAGATTTTGATCATGTTCTAAAAATGTATTATCAATTAGCATCATTAAATGGTAATGCTAAATTACATTCACATTCTGGTAATTATGCATTAAAAGGTCTTATTCAATTATTAAAACATTATGTTAATAAATATCATTTACAAGATACTAGTCGTATATTAATAACACTTGAAAAAGATCTTGGTTGTAATATATATGAAGATGAACGAATTCGACCATTATTTGATGCACTTTTTCTTCTAACAAAATTTCGTCAAAATGAACTGGATCGTTTAGATGCTCAAGCATTAGCTGAATTAGCATATGTATTTGCATTAGAACTTGATCATATATATTTTACAAATATTTTAAATGAATATATACATGATGAATTACATCATGATAAATATTCTACTATACTTATGTTTCGTGCATTAAATCGTCGTAATTATAGACATAATCGAACATTAGATATTTGTCTTCATTTTGTACATGAAAATAAAGAAATGTTTACTGAAGAAATTGATGAAATTAAACAATATTTAAAAAAACTTGAATATGAAATGAGCGAAGATTAACTTGTGAATTTGATGAACAACATGATATTTCATTTATTGATTACACAGTTATTTGTTTATGAATAAATATAAGAAAAAAGAAAATAATTTTTTTTAGATAAATATTGATTATTGTCATAATTATTGAAAGTCCGTGGTGAAAATTATGACAGATAATCTCAACTGTTATCGTTGTCAAAATTTAATAAACACAGATGTTTTCTTTTAATATCTCTGGGATAATAATAGCTAGAGACCTGCAGTTCTTAGTATTCGAAAAAGAAATGTGAAGAAAGTATAGCGATTAGAGGTCTAAGCCGAAGGATCAAACAGCAGCGGCAGGCAAAAAATTTTCAATTTCTGATAATTTCCAGGGGCTATCGATTCGATTTTGCAGGTTTTTCAGCGGGGACGGCTATAATCGTTTCAATGTTTTATAGCGGCAATGGCTCAGCTGTACAACTTATATCTCTAGTAGCGATGTCAGAATCATTAGGTTTAGGGATCTCAGAAAATCCTAACTTAAGTCAGACTTTGGTGCTAAAAAATTTTCCATTGGATGTTGATAGATAAAAATGTTCTCATTCAGTGAACACAAGGCCGGCGTCTCTAGCTTGTCTCATTCAAAAGCTATAAGGGTTTTTAGAGACGTCCGATTTCGGTATATTAACCTTGTATTACCCCGAAAATATCAAGATCAGGATAATTCACTATATTAAATTGTCTGGCGATGTTTCGTTTAAGTTTCAAAGCTTTTGAAAATGATTATATCCAGATTTTCGAAAATAAACATCATTACCAAACCAAGCATATGAATTATCGCAGTCTTGAACTTTTCAGAGTGACCCAAGGCCAGTAGTTTGGAATGGAGTAAGCTGGAGGCGCCGGCTTTGTATTGATCGAAAGAGAACAATTTTATCTATCGAACAACCATATCACCCTTCAAAATCTAATAAAAAATTTTTCTTAGACGAAAGTTCGACTAAAGTCTGGGTTGCCAGAGACTAATAAACCATCAAAAACCTAATGATTGGGATATCGTTATACTGCCCTTACATTTCTTTTTCAAGTGCTGAAAACCACAAGTCATTAGTTTTTATTATTCTAGAGATATTAAAGAAACATCGATATTCATTATATTTTGGCGGTGATAGCAGTTAGAAAATCAATAGATTTTTTAAAAGAATCGACACAACTCATAGTTATTTTTAAAGTATATTAAATACTTATGTAGAAGTTTTAATAAACAGTCTCCAAGTATCTTAAATGATTACTTGGTAAGTCAGTGTTGGGAAAATGCTGTGACATATATCGGTTGTGCCAAAAGTTTTGCGACATTAACTTTTTTTTGAAATATTTCAACTAAGACTTAATAGATGATCCTAAATTCCTTATCAATCATTGTAGCATTTTAATCTCTACAAAATTCTCTTGATCTAAATTTTAAAACGATAGACAAAAAGTTTTCTGTAGGTTATGTTCTGTTGCTCGATTGATAAAACTTTTGTTCCACCTATGTTTTTACTGTTTTTGCACCGCTCTTTACAAGTTATGAAGGGATGTGC